CATTGTCTTTTGATCACATGCTGTTTCTTGAAATTCCTCCACATCAGTCACTTCTTTTTGGTACAATGACTCCATATACTTCTTCCATATTCTTTTAATGCTTCTTGAATAATTCAATATTTATCCCATAATATCCTTGGACATTGCAACTTGTGGCTTGAATTTGTAGTTTCTTCAGCTTATGAAATGCTGAGTGGAAAAAAGTGCAAAAATGAATGACTGGAAACCCTAAGACTCTGTAAACTTTCACTAAAATTAATTTAAGAGAGAAATGCTGAGTGAGTTTGGCCTTTTTTATTTTCCAACTCCAGCTCCTTGAACATTTCATTATAACACTTTGCCTTGTCTTCCCAAGCTGCTCTTTGAAATCTTCTATTCAGCTCCTTACCTTCTTGATTTATTTCTTTGATTTTGCCTTCTTGGTGCTCTAGTGCAATATTCAGAGTCTCTTTTGATATCTATTTTGGCCTTTTCTTCTTCCTTCTTTGTAATGACTTTTTGCATTCTTCATGAACGATAGTCTTTATATCTTTCCACAGCTCATCTGGTCTTCCCCCATTAGCATTCAAGCCCTCAAACCTATTTCTGAGTTGGTATTTAATTTCAGGGAGGACAGACTCAAGAATAAATTTTTATTACTGGGGATATGATTTAACCTTCTTTAGCTTTAATTTCAGTTTGCATATGAGTAGTTCATGGTCTGTTCCACAATCAGCACATGCCCTATAGGGTTTTCACTGCCAATATTGAACTTCACAAACTGTTTCTTCTACAGATGTAATAGATTTTATTCCTGTGCATCCCATCAGGTGAAATCGATGTGCATAGCCTGCACCTATGTTTCTTATAAAAGTTATTTACTATTAACAAATCACCGATTATAAAGAAGTCCATCATTCTATTCCCAGCCTCATTTCTGTCACCAAATCCATGTTTTCTGACTACTGATCCATTTTCCTGGTTCCCAACTTTTGCATTCAAGTCACCCATAATTATTAATGCATCTTGATTACATTTTGATCTATTTCTGACTGCATGAGTTGATAGAAATCTTCTTTTTCCTCCTCTTTGGCTCTGGTTGTTGGCACATAAATTTGAATGATAGTGGTATTAACAGGTTTTCCTTATACACATTTGGATATTATCCTGTCACTCATAGTAATGTATTTCAAGATGAATCTGGAAACAACACTGTTTTTATTATTATGTACTGTTGAGTTGAATATAACTCATAGCAAACCTAAGAACAATGACTCTGAACCGTGTCCTATTCTTCAGACAAGCTTACCATCTCTGACATATCTGACCCCATTGTCACAGTCACTGTGTCAAGCCATCTCATCTAGGGGTTCCTACTTCTACCTCGTCCCTCCACTCTTTCTAGCATGATGACCTTGTCCAAGGACTGGTCCCACCCGGAAAAATACCCAAAGTATGTGAGATGGAGTTTCAAAATCCTTGCCTGCAAGGAGCAGCCTTATTTAACCCTCTCCAAGGCAGATCAGTTTGTTCTCTTGACAGCTCTTCTCCAGCATGACAACTCCAAGGCATTGATTATTCTGTCATCCTTAGTTATTGTCCAGGTCTCAGATGCATAGCAAGCAATAGAGAGGACCATGGCCTGGATCAGGTGCACCTTAATCTCTAGACTGGCATTTTTGTTCTTTAGGACTCTGGAGAGATACCTGACAACAAAATTTCCCAAAGCAATTTGTCTTTTGATTTCCTGACTAGTGGTACCAAAAGTGTTGATTGTGAATCCAAGTAAAATGAAATTGTTAACAATCTCAATCTCTTCTCCATCTAGCAAGGTGCTATCAGTGGCTCAGTGGTGAGAATCTTTGTTTTCTTCATGTTGAGCTTCAATCCACATTAAACCTTCACTCCCTGACCTTCTGCATCAAATGCTTCAAGTCCTCTTTCATTTCCGTGAACAAGGTTGTGGCATCCTCATAACACAGGCTGCTGATGACTTTTCCTCCAATCATGATGGATGATTTTTCTTCCTAAATTCCTACCTTCTGAATAATATTCCACATATAGATTGAATATAGAAAGGATACATCCTTGGTGCACTCCTCTCTTGATTTTGAACCCTTCAGTGTTCCCTTGCTCTTCTCATAAAACAGCTTCCTGGTCTACGCACAAGTTTCACACATGAGCACAACCAAGTGTTATGAGAAAGCAGAGAGTACCAGAAAGATGTCTATTTGTGCTTTATAGACTATGTAACAATATTTGACTATGTGGATCACAACAAACTGTGGCTAACATTTAGAAAAACAACATACTTTATTAAATTAAATGAGGATAAAACTCTACATTTAATTCCACTTTTTCCTTTTAGCTACCCTAATTTATATTAGTGGTGTTGTTGGATCCTACCCACAACTGACTCCCTTGTGTGTTTTCAGAGGCAGTTAATTGCTTGGGAGGAGATTGTTCATCTTTCTTCCATTGAGCAACTGGTGGATTCAAACTGAATACCTTCAGAATTGTAGCATAGCTTCTTGCCACTAGGCCACCAGAGCTCCCTAAAATTTTTATATACATAGCTCTTGTAGTCTGGTGACAAGACGCTGCACTGTAATCCTGAAAGCACACGGTTCGAGGGCACCAGCTACTCTATGGGAGGATGGGCAATCTCCTCCCATATAATTAACTACCTCTGAAAATCAACTGGAGGGTCAGCTATGGGTCAATCCGACTCGACAAAACAATACAAACAACAACACACAGACACAATTTTGCGTTTCCCTGTGGATATTTTTTCTCTTGGTGAATATATAAAATTAATGACTGATTTTCTTACTGTTATTTAATTTTAAATATTTATTGTTGTTGTTGTTATGTGC